GGAAGCATTGGAGTATGTAAGGAAAATGGTCAGGGAGGGTGTGGAAGTAAATTCAGTTATATTGACTAGCATTCTGCCGGTTATTGGGGAAGTTTTGGCCCGAAAACTTGGGCAGGAGGCTCATGCTTATGCGATCAAAACGAAGGAGTACTCTAAACAGTTGTTCATTCAATCTTCTTTGGTTGATATGTATTGCAAATGCGGGGATATAGTATCAGGAAGAAAGGTGTTCTATGGGTCCATGGAGAGAAATACCATTTCATGGACGGCTCTTATGTCAGGTTATGTCACTAATGGGAGGCTTGAGCAGGCCTTGAGATCAATTGTTTGGATGCAACAGGAAGGATTCAAGCCTGATGTAGTCACGGTTGCAACGATTCTTCCAGTTTGTGGTCAATTGCGGGCATTGAGAAAAGGGAAAGAAATTCATGCTTATGCTGTCAAGAATGGATTTATTCCAAGTGTATCTATTGCTACTTCGCTAATGATGATGTACTCAAAGTGTGGCATTTTGGAGTATTCTTTGAGAGTGTTTAATAATATGGAGAACAAGAATGTAATATCATGGACAGCGATGATTGAGTCTTATATAGAATGTTGTTGCCTACATAAAGCATTGAGTGTTTTTCGGTCAATGCAGTTGTCCAAACACAGGCCAGACTCAGTAACAATGTCAAGGATGTTGAGTGTTTGTGGTGAACTTAGAGTTCAGAAACTTGGAAGGGAGATCCATGGACAAGTTTTGAAGAAAGATCTTGAATCTATTCCTTTTGTTTCTGCGGAACTTGTGAAAATGTATGGAAACTGCGGGGCAATCGATAAGGCAAAGTTAGCTTTTGATGCAATCCCTGTCAAAGGCTCAATGACATGGACCTCTATTATTGATGCTTATGGATGTAATGGTCTTTATGAAGAAGCAGTAAATCTTTTCAAGCAGATGTTATCCAATGGTTTCTCTCCAAACCAGTTCACTTTTAAAGTGGTTCTGCATATTTGTGATCAAGCTGGATTTGGAGATGAAGCTTGCAGTTTTTTTTCATCAATGATTCGGAAGTATAAAATCAAAGCGTCTGAAGAACATTACTCTAGCATCATTGATCTTCTCACTCGTTTGGGTCGAGTGGAGGAGGCTGAGAATTTTATACAACTGAGATCATCCTTGTCTTGAGCCAAATAACTTTCGATCTACTTAATTATTTTCAAGTGGAGGTTGATGCTGGGAATCTCTCTTCCTTTGATATTAGACAATAGGGTACAGAGTGCTCTTTGATGGTACAGCTCATATAAACCAAGGACAAATGCTCTCACTAAACTGAAAGAGAAAAACTAAATTATCTAAAACTACAGAAGAAGAGGATGGGCAGGCTCCGGTGTGTGCAGCTGATGAGGATTCTTCTGACCTTTAAGATCCAACAACAAAACATCGGGCTTAATTTGAGTGTCAAACAGGTTCTTGTTAACTCTGTCCCAATCACAATCACTCTAATTGTCTTCTAAAATTTGGCATTCATGATGATATAGTGAATAGCTTGAATTATCTGGTATTTTCTCAGTTACTGGTGCTTATCTGTTATGTGCCTTACGTATAGTCGTTCTTTGTTATAGTTTATTAGAAATAGTGCTAGGTTTGTTCAGTATATGCACTGCACTTTGATCACTTGAGCTATTTAGCCCTTGTTTGACATCCATTTTTTTACCATTCTCATTCTCATTTTCATTTTTTTTTCTCTTTCTTCATTTCAACCACACATTCTATCAATGAAATAATATTACACATAAACTCAAAAATTCTCATTACTTTTTAACCACGCATTCTTCCATCAACCACTACTCCAAATCAAATTTTTCTCCAAAATGGGTGTCAAACACACCCTTAAGGTTGCCATGTCCTAACAGCCTCTCCTTTTTGACTGTAACAAATTGTTGCAGAAATAAAATATCACAATGTAGGCTTATACAAGTCATGAAAAATGACATAGCAAGCACATATAGTGTTCTTTTTCCTTGAAGGTCTTGGCAATTCTTTATTCTCCCCATTGACAATGCAACACTTGGTATTCCCACATCAATATGCACTCCCTTTTCCCACACTTCTCCCCCATGTAAACTCCCTTTTGTTAAAAAAACGAGGTTTAGGGGTAAGCAATGGGTAAAAACAACCACAAGAGTGGAAAACCTTTGATTACACAAAGAACGAAATGAATTATTCCTTGGATTAGTTAAATGCCTTTGGTTCACACTCTTTGTCACTATGTAAGATTACATGTTAATTTCATGAATTTAAGGTAACCATTGATTCCCTTAGAGGTGTAAAGAGGGCCGGGCTGGACTGGACTGGACTAGACAGCCCGCTTTTGTGGTGTCATCTAATGCAGGCCGCCTATGGGTTGGTGGGCCATCAGGCCATACAGTGTTTTTTTTTTTAGCAAATAAAAAATGAGAAAGGCCCGACAGGCCATAGTTGTGGAACGTGACATCCGGAGCTCCGAATTTACATGCCCTCTTTAGTGGTACTTTACGTTAAACCTTTCGATGCTACTCTTAAGTTGTACTTTATGCTTTTAGAATTAAAAAAAAAACTTCTTACTTCTGTGATAGTTTTGGAAAAAGCAAAAAAAAAAAAAAAAAAAAAAAAATTCCCTGAGCATTTATGCTTCTGTTGTAACTCTTTGACCATAGTTCTCAGACCAATCTTATCATCTTAATCGTCGTTTGAGATAGATGTGATTTTGAAATATTTCATAGGTGTCTTGACTATTGAAGCATGTCTACAAAGTTCAAATTGTGTAACGCAGTCTATAGGATTACTTAATCGTCTTTACTATTAATTAGAAATAAAGAAATAGAAAAATATGTGTTTCTAATCTGGTAGTACTTCCCTAAAAGTTGCTGCTAGTTGATAGTACAATGAAACAGTGTGTACTTTCACTAATTGCATTTGAAGGAAGTCAGGTACAAAACCATAAGCAGAGGTTGGACCATATATATGTATAGGTCATAGCTCCTTGATTTGGTGGTGTTCATATTGTTCTTTGAAGTTTCATGACATGTTGTAGAGCTATGATTCACTTGTGCACGTTTGATACACACGTGAACATATTTTTTTGTTGTGGATGATTTCATGCTTAAGGAAGACCTGCAGGGGGGCTGATCGGCGCATAGAAACTAGAGGAAAGTCGATGGCCTCCCAACGTTGAAGTTAGAACAACATTTCATTGGCTCCAACCCACAGAATACTGGCTGCAGATGGGAGCATATTAGTAACAGTATTCATGTTTTAATTGCAAAGTAGTGAAAGTTTGTTATCTGTGATGGTATTATTTGTTGAATCGCCTCTCGTAAATTCTGTAGAATTATCTTTTCTGAAATTGAAAACTGTAATACTTTATCTTCTGCTGGCCAACTCTTTCTGAGTCGTGTCCTGCCTAGGACTTGGCAATTCATTTTTTCATCAAAACATTTACAGGATAAATTCTTGTTATGGAATGTTACTTTTTCTATATACAAGGTTAGAATGAGTTATTGTACAGCCATAATGTGGCCAGGCTGGTTTCTTATTATGTTTAAATTATTCGATAAGGATGAAATATAATAAATTATATAAAGTGGACCGTATATTTACTAAATTATGATCACAATCCTTAACTAAACGTGGAAAACGGAATATATGTAGCTGTTTTGAAGGACAGGACTGGCCTTAGGCTTTTAGAAAAGGTCTAGTTTGAATATTTCTGTTTAATGTTAGACCATAATATAAGTTTAATGAAAAAAAAAAAAACCGAAGAAGTCAATCGAAATTTCTTTTTCAAGATAATAATAAATAAATAAATAAATAAAATCTCTATTATTATTATTATTATTCAAAAGATAATTGAATTCTCGATCTTTAATTTCTCTTTTCAATAAAAATAAGGAACGACAAGTCTTCTCCACATAGTAGCCATGAATAATCATATTTTCCATTGGACGTTAACATATGATAATTTCATATAAGTTTAAATCTTAATTAAATTCTACAATAATAAATTATTTGTATTATGCTAAAATCATAGAAGAAATTTATCATTGTTATTTATTATTTAATTACAATTTTTTCAAATGTATATATAATAGAGAAAATAATATACAATCATAATATAGTGAATTAATTGAACAAAAAGACAGATCATTCACCTCAATAATGAAAGTGTTTTTTTATATATAAAATAAGTAAATCCAATTTGGGAAAAAGTCAACTAAAAATGAGCCTGCACCAATTCAAAATAAGAAGTGTGTATGCACTAACTCAATATGAATAATGCTATGTGTACACCTTGTGGTGTATACAAGGTGTGTACATCGGGGTGTACATCACGGTGTACACCCCCCTCACATGGGTAAGGGGCCCACTCAAATATTTTATTCGAGTGGATTCCTCCATATGAGGAGATGTAAATCTTGATGTACATCTAGTATTTTTCTATTATTAATTATCTTAGGACGTTTGTCAGAATTTTTGTTTTTGTCTTTTACTTTACTCCTCGTAGAAAAGTTTTCTGATGAAGCTAGATTATGTTAACTTTTTCTAAAAGTTCTTTTAGCCAGATAAAACACTTTCAAAAAATTATTCAAATATGTTCAAAAGCTACTTCTTAGTCTCATAAACAACTGTTGACATTTCAAAAGCCTTACTAAATGATCTTTAATTTTCGAGAATAATCTAACCATCACAATACAATAATAAAAAATGTACAATTAAATCTCAAGAAATGTGAATTCCGCATTAGAATATTGAAGAAAATGCACGTAAAGAAATTGACCAACGCGATGAAAATTGACATGAATAACATCCTGTCATGTTCCCATCTCTTTAAAAAAAAAAGTATCTTCAACAAATTCCAATGACTGTTTCATCAACTTTAAATTGCAATTTGTTCATATATATAGAATCCCTTTTGCCTAAACCATACCCAAGATTGAGCTATTTCTTCAACGAAATTTGTCCTTGACAACAAATTAAAATGACAATTCTCAAAACATTAGTAACTTTGGCTGCAATAGCCATGCTAATGAAACTGGCTATGGCAGCAAATTACACAGTGGGAGATCCAAATGGTAGCTGGGATCAATCGTCCGATCTGGGAAAATGGGCGTCGTCCAAAACATTTTTCGTTGGTGATAATTTGAGTTCAGTATTTTCCATTTCGTCTTGTCTCCACATGCACTGTTATTTCTGCTAAAGACATATTGTAGTAGTTAAGGATTTAATGTAGTTAAAAAAGAAATGGAGTGGCGAGAAAGGATTTCAACGTTATGTAGTCGACTTTAAATTCTTTGAGAATAAGATTGACATGCATTGATTCTAATTGTTGGCTTCTAATTGTGCATGCAGTTTTCCAGTATACATTAAACCATGATGTTCTTGAAGTCTCAAAGCCTGATTTCGACTCGTGCCGAGCAAATAACCCCATAAATTCTCATTCTGGAGGCTCAACGGTCATAACTCTTTCTTCTCAAGGCAAGAGGTACTTCATTTGTGGAACTGCTGGACATTGTGACCAAGGCATGAAGCTAGAAATCGACACCGTCGCAGCTTCTGCACCACCACCGGCCACCACCTCGGCCCCTCCACCGGCCACTCCCTTGGCTCCTCCACCAGCAACTCCATCAGCGCCACCAACGGGNTTTTTTTTTTTTTTTTTTTATACTAAATTCTTATGTGTTACATTCTATTAAGAGCAATGCTACTAGTACATCGGGGTGTTCATCACGGTGTACACCCCCCTCACATGGGTAAGGGGCCCACTCAAATATTTTATTCGAGTGGATTCCTCCATATGAGGAGATGTAAATCTTGATGTACATCTAGTATTTTTCTATTATTAATTATCTTAGGACGTTTGTCAGAATTTTTGTTTTTGTCTTTTACTTTACTCCTCGTAGAAAAGTTTTCTGATGAAGCTAGATTATGTTAACTTTTTCTAAAAGTTCTTTTAGCCAGATAAAACACTTTCAAAAAATTATTCAAATATGTTCAAAAGCTACTTCTTAGTCTCATAAACAACTGTTGACATTTCAAAAGCCTTACTAAATGATCTTTAATTTTCGAGAATAATCTAACCATCACAATACAATAATAAAAAATGTACAATTAAATCTCAAGAAATGTGAATTCCGCATTAGAATATTGAAGAAAATGCACGTAAAGAAATTGACCAACGCGATGAAAATTGACATGAATAACATCCTGTCATGTTCCCATCTCTTTAAAAAAAAAAGTATCTTCAACAAATTCCAATGACTGTTTCATCAACTTTAAATTGCAATTTGTTCATATATATAGAATCCCTTTTGCCTAAACCATACCCAAGATTGAGCTATTTCTTCAACGAAATTTGTCCTTGACAACAAATTAAAATGACAATTCTCAAAACATTAGTAACTTTGGCTGCAATAGCCATGCTAATGAAACTGGCTATGGCAGCAAATTACACAGTGGGAGATCCAAATGGTAGCTGGGATCAATCGTCCGATCTGGGAAAATGGGCGTCGTCCAAAACATTTTTCGTTGGTGATAATTTGAGTTCAGTATTTTCCATTTCGTCTTGTCTCCACATGCACTGTTATTTCTGCTAAAGACATATTGTAGTAGTTAAGGATTTAATGTAGTTAAAAAAGAAATGGAGTGGCGAGAAAGGATTTCAACGTTATGTAGTCGACTTTAAATTCTTTGAGAATAAGATTGACATGCATTGATTCTAATTGTTGGCTTCTAATTGTGCATGCAGTTTTCCAGTATACATTAAACCATGATGTTCTTGAAGTCTCAAAGCCTGATTTCGACTCGTGCCGAGCAAATAACCCCATAAATTCTCATTCTGGAGGCTCAACGGTCATAACTCTTTCTTCTCAAGGCAAGAGGTACTTCATTTGTGGAACTGCTGGACATTGTGACCAAGGCATGAAGCTAGAAATCGACACCGTCGCAGCTTCTGCACCACCACCGGCCACCACCTCGGCCCCTCCACCGGCCACTCCCTTGGCTCCTCCACCAGCAACTCCATCAGCGCCACCAACGGGATCTCCTGTCAAGCCACCGATTTCCTCTCCACCCACCAAATCTTTAGCTCCCTCTCCAAAGCATTCACATTCGCCTGCTCCTAAGATGTCCCCTTCGTCGTCTCCTACTAGCAGTCCCACATCGTCTCCTCCTCCGGGCGTTTCTTTGCCTCCACCTCCTCCCTCATCAGCTACCAGGGTAAATGTGATTGCTGGTTCCTCGCTCGGGCTTGGTTTCTATATCATGATGATGCTCATCAACCTTTAGATTTTGAGCAAAATTCGTTTGCCGGCTTGTTATGATTTGGTCACCTCGATCTAAATTCTTCTTGTATCGATCCCGTCACTGATTTTTCGTTTACTAGTTGTAATAACGATACTAATGTTCAAACAATGTTAGCATTTGATTTCACTCTCTCCCAACATTCGTTATCAAAGTTAATGATAGTTCGGACCAATAGATCTTGCCATGAGCTTGACTATGAGTTTCAAGTAGTCTATGAATATGCCCCGGACCTTGTTGTTGGCCATCCCGATTCTTAAAAACCACTTTTTGATCGAACAAGTAGAATTTATGAAGTAAAATGCAGTCTTTATTTACCAAAGGATTTATTATTTTTATGACATACAAAGAAGAAGTGCAAATTCTGCTGCAGGCAGCAATACACCTGGCTTAGTTCAAACAGTAAGCAAAGAGCAAATACCAGTTTTTATTTACATCACATCCATTCAAAAGAGATACACACAGTTATACAGCTGCTAAACATTAGCATTTTCCCGAGCCATGCTACAATCAGCTTTTCCGGCTTATGCAACAGGAGGGCGAAGCACATGATCCAGAGACGTGTCAACCACAGCAGGTTGCATGAACTGCCACATAGCAACACCGGGATAGCCAATGAAGGGCATCAACTTGTTCCCTTCTCCCTTTGCAAATGCAACTCCCATTGCAGAGTGATGGGCTAATAACCCGGGTTGTGCTGCCAATGCTTTAATTTGCAGTTCGAGCTTCTCCTTATCGGTCTTAAGCCTCAGCTTCTCATCTCGTAGCTCATTCTTCTCAGCCTGAAGAGAGAACAGTAACAGAAATTTATCCATCCAAGGGTTATCAGTATTTATTAAATAAGTTCCTATCTAACAAAATGCTGTACAAAGACATTATCAAGAAAAAAGACGGCTTTTCCTAGATGAAATTGAAAATTCAATGGAATAGTTATCCTATCAAGTTGATAACAATGAAAAATCGAAACTAAAATTCAATCTCAATTATGTTATACATTTAGTGATAGGATCAAACTCTCACCTTCAGTTCTTTGATCTTTTCCAGCAAATCCTGGTTTGACTCCTTCAGCTGCTGAGCTTCAACTCGCAGTTGAGTTACCATTCGAACGGCATCGCATAAAAGAGCACATTTGTCTGTTTTTGGTGGCTCGCCTGGCTCAAGGGTAGACCCCAGTTCCAGGAACCTTCACCAAATTGTAAGTGAACTATGAAAACTCAGATGACACAATATGAGAAACGTGAAGAATGAAAAATAATACCTCTCATTTATTCGGTCTCTCCGCAACTTCTCTCGACATGCTTTAGATCCAGATGCATTGCATGACTCAGACTTTAAGCTGTAGAATACAATTGAAAATCTTTATCCAGAATGCTCGTAATTTTGTATATGTGCATCACTGTGTGCGTGTGTGATCCCATATGGAGACAGAGACCAAAATGACGATACCACAAGAATAGGACAGTTAATAGAAGATACTAAACAAGTGATCAACAAAAGCAACGTAGTTATGCAACTGTTTGGGGGGACAGAAAAAACTGGTAGCTGTGTAGCACATGAATTAGCCAGACATGCCAAATGCAATACTGAATGTGTTGTTTAGTAGGATAAGCTCCCAAAAGGGCCAAAACCATGTAATTCCGATCGTTATTGGTTGACAATCCTTGGTGTTTTAGTAAAATACATGGTTCTAATAAAAGAAGAAGGAAAGATGAAAAAGAAGGAAAGAGAATCATCTAAAGGGCGTAAAGATATATTTTTACCAATACAGTTTCAGTGACAAGTATACCAAAAAATAGTGTCAATGGCTTAAATACTATATTACTATGCCAATTCGCAACAGGACTTCCAAACTGAATTCAAGGAACTTGAACAACATTCCTTGAGATCTCAAGTTCAATCCTGATCTTATTACATATGACGACTTCTACTTTACCTCTGTTATTTAATATGGGTTGATTCGAATGATACCACTCCCTAATCAGAAGATACAGAATAATGTATCCTTGTGCTTTGATTCATTTGCAGCTGCATTTGAACTATGACATGCATCTGGAAGAGAACTTGGGAAAGAATTCCTTCGTTCATCTAGCACGAAATTTCATGGACGCAAACTTGACATTTAAGCAAAGTTCAATGATGTTCACGCTCATACCAGCATTTTTTATTGGATTCTTTCTGAGAATTTACTCAATATAGAAGTCTTTTGATGGACCTGCATATCATCAGTATACTTCATTTATAAATGACATGTCTGTTGTATTGTCTAGATTAGGTTGGCAACTGCAGTATTCAGCAAGTATTTTATCTTCCGTGGAACCAGGCATACTTATTAATGATCATAGAAAGAGGACTCAGGAAAGATGCAACATGACAGAATAGAAACTGAATGGATGATATACTTCAACATATAAACTACTGCAACATGCATACACATTTTTGTTATTTATCAAGAAGGAATGGTTAATCAAGAAACAGAATGTAACTTAAGCTTTCTGATAAGTATAAAGAAGAAAATATCAGATAATACAGCGTTAATTAGCGTAGAACATAAATAATCAAGAAAAAGACTCCATCAAATTCCATAGATATTTCTGTTTCTAGAAACCAAATACGAGTTATTCGATCATTTCAAGAACAGAAATACATTCAGATATTTAAGTGGGCAGAGAAGAATCTATGACATAAGAATCTATGAATCACAAATTGCCAAGATACTAACATCAAAGGAAAATAAGAGGAAGTTTTGTACCGTTTACGAGGACCTACTTCCTTAAAGCCTTCAGCATCCTCAAAAGAGCAATCCAATTCCGAACTAAAATACAAAGCTAAGTCATCAGATGTGAAGAATAAAATGACATAGATGTAGTTGTACTTCCACTGTCCTAAAATGTTTTGAACAAGTTCTTGGTACAAAGCTTAAGAAAAGACACCATCGTATGGTTGACGTTGACCTCCTCTGTTTAGATTTAATCTTCACTCTACCTAATAAACATGCAGTTTAGAATGAATTTAAACATTTGGACATTACTTTTATGAGTTCTATATCCTTTGAATCAGTACTTCTGGTTCTGGAACCTAAATGAAATGTGTTTCAGTTTTGGCATGAATCAGTACTTTTGGAATCTTAAATGAAATGTGTTTCAGTTTTGGCACTTGACATGGCACTCTGTGTTGTATGACGTAGGCGTGGAAGTGGTAAATACTTCTAAAAAATGCTAATTCCGTCACAATAATGGGAACAGCGAGTGAAGACAAGAACCAAGGAAGAGCATGCAATAAAATTGCATAATAAACAATGTTATTTACTATTCGCAGACCTATCACTTATTGTATTGATGAAAGCATGATTATGTTTATTGCAACAACTGCACTCCCACTGACCTGAGAAAAAATATAGAAAGAGCGAAACAAAACCCCCTATTTTTCTTTGTTTTGCCTTTCGACTATACATATGTATGTAAAAGTAGGACAGATTTGTCTTATGTTGCCATCACTCAGCCTGTTCTTTCACATTTCGCAACGTATTTTAACATCTTAAATCATACATAAGTATAAATTTCAATAATAAGCTAATAAAATTGGTCTTCCTTTCAGTATATTAACTGGTATGTGCAAAAAAAAAATGTAACTTTGACGTTATCCGCACAGAATTTCATCTTTTTTGCCCAGTGGTCCAACGTTTAGTGACAGATCAATCAACTTAGAGAACAGATGTGCATCAGGCCGGGTTTTCTTAATTGCTATTCTGATATATAAACATGATATGGGTAGTTTTTCCATCTTGTACTTCTAGTCAATTTTAATAGTTTACAACCAACATAGCTGAAGCACTTCTTAGTCGCATATTTGAGTTTTGCCCTCGAATATAGAAGTCAAAGATTTCTCTCGTACCCTTCCAACAATGAATTGCCAACACATACGCAGGCAAGTACTAATATGCAACAAATCACATATTCGAGCGTAAAGACAAGATAATTGCAAGAGTGATGAAGCCCCCAAAAATAAAATACAAATGTTCAAACGTGTAAGCATAATATATATACTAAGAAGCATATCCAAATTTATTATTCTTAACTCTGCCATTGCCAGTTTTTGCCTAAAAAATCAAAATTTCCGCAAAATTTTCCTGATCCTACAAGGAAAATTACAAACCTAATTGAAAAAGGTTATTATTATTTTTTTTTTTACAGGGCTGAATAAATCAAGCAAGAACTGATGGACTTGCAAGTCAAAATATAATGAAAAAAGAAAAGAAGGGTCCAAGAATTGTAACACCTTACAATAGAGCAGCAGCTGATTGCTTTGGTGGGCCAGGCGAAGCAAAAGGCGGCGGCGGAAGGCGGCGGCGTAGTAAGACTGGAGAAATCTGCTGCAGCGGAGACGGCGGAGATATCATCCATCAACTCATAGTCACACAACCAGTTGGTGGTGGCGTTAGAATTCTCATTAGAACTGATTTCCATTTTGGAACTGAGTCACTCGACAATGATTGGTTTGTATAACTAAAATCATCAACTGGGTTCGTGAAAAATTAAGAATGTTTTTTGTTTGGTTGATTTTTTTGGGCGGCAGAGAAGTGATGGCAGCGTTGAGCATGCCACAATGCATATTTCATCAGCAATTTTTTCTGTTATTCCTAAAAATAAAACGCCTGACGTTGGTTGGATGTTGAGTGCTACTGTGCCAAGAACTATTTCGGATAAAAATATGAAAAAATCGCAACGGTAGTCATCAATGTACCATTTCTGTTGCACCTTGGTCCTCAGACCCACAGAATCCGTCCAAAACTCCATCATAAACCATACATGACACATCTCATCTGTCCCGTTTTATGAAAGTCGATTTTTTATTTTTTATTTTTTTAATGCAGTATAGACATTGAATTTAAAAAAAATGGAAAAAACACTAGCCAAATATAAAACACTTTTTCATAGTATTTTTTGACTCGTGCTAGTACAATAGTCAAAATCAAAATAGAAGGGAATTAGATACGAGAGTTTTTTTGAATCGACAATTAAGTAGAATTAAGAGGTTTTTTGAACCGGCGAAAAAAGAGAGTGACTCTTAGTATAAAAAAAAGGTAAAATCTAACAATTTGTGCCTTCACTTGGTTCAACGTTCGCCTCATGTGCGGAGATGATGAGACTTATACGAGTTGAGAATGTGGTGCAACATAAATGATACATCAGGGACGTAAATGCCAAGAAATAAGAATTAAGATCTATTTGCTATTAATTGCATAGATTGAAGACTAATACTACAATTTCTCCATAAAAATATGTAGTGTCTACAAGGACAGCCAAAGGATGTTGTGATTAGGAAATATTATCAGAGAAATTTTCCATAACCTAGGGTTGGATATACTTAGGGCTGGGTCTGACTTGAGTTGAGTTTGGGTTGGTTTGGATAACTCAACCCAACATTTTCGGTTCAATAATAATTCAAATGAAACAATACATAATTTCTAGTTTTAA